AATATATGGGATACAGCTAAAGATGTATTGAGAGGAAAATACATTGTTCTTAGATGCTTTCATAACTTAAAGATCAAAACTAAATGAACTAAGTTTTCAATGGAGGAAACTAGAAAAGAATAGCAAAAAACAGCTAAAAGAAAATAGGAGGGGCCTAATGTGTATGAAATAGAAAAGAAAAATAATAGAAGCGGTTAATAAAACTAAAGCTAGTTAAAGAAACAAACAAATAAAATAGAAAGCTCCTTGTGAGTGAGAGAGAGAGAGAGAGAGATGATATTAGGAAGTGGCTATAACCAAAGCATAGAAAAATATTTTTAAAAGTGTAAGAGAATGTTATATGAAGCTTTATAGAAATACATTAAAAATACATTAAAATGTATAGAAAATGAACAATTTTCTATGAAAACATGCATCACTAAGTTTGATTCAAGAAGAGACGGAAAACTTGAAGAGATCAATAACATAGGATAAATTGGAAACTTTATTAAAGATCACCATTTAAAAAGGCGACAGGCTCAGGTGGTTTTACCCTTGAAATACGTCTGCTTTAAAAAATAAATTATTTCTTTGTTAACACAACTCTTCTAGAGAATAGAATAAGAGTTTTATTTTTAGTTTATTTTACAAAGCTAGTACAAGCTAATGCCAAAAGCTTAAAAAAATAACACAAAGCAGAACACTATAAGCCAATTTCACTTATGAATATAGATGTAAAAATTCCATATAGAGTGCTGAGTTATAAATCAGTTCTAGCAACACACTGAAAGAATAATATATCAAAATAAGTAAGATTTCTTCTATCAATGCAAGGATGGTTCAATATTAAGAAATCTGTTAACGTAATTCATTACACCAACAAACTGTGATTATGTTCTTAATTGCCAGAAAGCCATTTAATAAGATTTTGAACAGCCAATTAAAAAACAATGAAAAACCAAAATCAAATAAACCAAAAAACCCTAGTATAGGATATAGGCAATTTACTAGAAATTAAGAATAATACATGGTGAAATACTTAAGCCTTTGTCCTTAGAATCATTCCCAGGACATGTTCACCTGCTGTTTTTTCTGTCCAGACACAGTGCTTTGGATGCTCATTACATGCCAGTGACTCACAAATGGAATGTTCAGTTTGGGCTTCTCTCGTTAGAACAGATTGATAATAACTGCCTACTCAGAATTTTCATTTGAATGACTTACAAGTTTTCTGTGGCCACATTGGAACTCATGATCCCCTCTCCTGCTCTAAGCTGACCCTTCCCTGCTATTTTCTCATTTCAGTAAATGGCACCACTTTGACCAGAGCCATCTTTGTTCCTCGCCTTTCAGTCTCATCTATTAGAAAATTCTGTCTTTTCTACTTTAAAAATGTATCTTAAAACTGTCTCCCCTGGAGATTAGGGGACTGGCGAGGAGATAATTAGAACACCCATATTTGCATTGTACAACTTGTTACATGCATAGCTTTTGTAATTTGAGATCTAATAAAGTAAAAGGTAAAAGGGAAAAAATCACTTTGAGTCATGAAAAGTGCTTCTTGTTGCCTTTTAAAGCCACATTTCTGAGAAAGCTTTCTGACTGGAATAATAAATTGTGCATGAAAAACATAGAAACAGAGGAGAGGGCAAGGTCACCACTGAAATGGAAAACTAAGTGACACATGGCTTGAAAACTCTCTGAATCACTGGCATTCTCCTGATCAGGCTGAGTGGAACAAATAACTCCCCAAACAAAATGCCACAAGAGCAGTTTCTTTCCTTTCTCCCTTCTCCCTTCTCTCTCTCTCTCTCTCCGCACCCCCTCTCCCTCCCTCCCTCCCTCCCTCCC